CAGCTTTTATCTCATCAGACCAGGGAATGTCCTTTAATGTTGTATTTTACTAAGTATGTGGATGTGGCAACATTATATAGTTACGGTGGCTGTTCTAAGGGTAAATGTCTGACTTGATGGAGGGTAGCTGAGAAGGATCAGTCTCTCTGTTACTATTTCACTGTTGTTGTTTAACAGGCTTCTTGAGAATATCCAAGACTTTTTAAATTATTTCATACCTGTGAAATGTGCTTTTCCAAATTTCCAACAGAAGTCTACAGAGAGTTCCCTTGAGTTTGTGATTTAAAGTGAATTGTGAGCTTTACATATAACGGGTACATTACTCTCGTACCTTACTCTGTTCAGTTTGGCAAATGTCTCTGTCTTTTTCTTTAAAACATTAAAAATAAATAAATTAACTTATAAAATGTTTTCTCTCTGTCATTATGACACTTACGTTGATATACAAAACAAATGTGTTCGCGTTCCCATGTATCACATAAAGCAGGCTAAATTGTGCAAAGAAAGTGAAAGGGTGCAAATACTTTCCGAGTCTCTGAAGACTGGGTAACAAAGAAACGGTGATATTCAAGCAGTACAGCAAGGGAGGGAGACTAGTGCACAGCTGGAATGTTCCAGCTGGGATTCCCGGTGGCTGGACAGGAAGTTTGAGGAGTTCTGACAGGAAGTGTGTTCTCAGAGAGGGTGGAGAGAGAGAGAGAAGGGGGAGATGTTTCCTGTTGGTTCTCCCCACATGTTTTGACGCCTTGCTCATTCTGGGTCCTCTTCACACCCACCATGCACACGTACCAGTATGCAAATGCTGCTGGTCACATCCACCCGTGCTAATAGCAGACTGCTATTAGAGGATAGTGGTAAGCTGAGAGAGTAAATCATGTACGTAGGGCAGGATTGTGTCACAGGATGCAGATGTCACCACATGAAGTGAAACTTCCTGCCCATCAAAGCAGTCAGTACCAGTTTAATGGACTCACAATGTGGAGCCCGTGTAAATTAGGCTTCCAAAACTCAGGAGGGAGAAATGATGGAGGAAAGGAGGAGAGAAGGAAAAAAATTAAGTGTGTGTTTGCAGGGGGGTGGGGGTGGGGGCGGGGGGCTGTATTGTAGGAAGAGATCTGATGGAGTGATATGTGGATTGCGAGAGGAAAACTCTCTTTGTCTCTTCTGAGCTCAGTGGACAATCAAAGTTTCCTATCAGCTCTGGAGTAGGGGAAATTGGCTGCCCTGGGAAGGAGAGGGCCACTCTCACAGCCAATGGGAAGTGCCCCTGTCACTCTAATCAGGTCTGATAGAGAAAGTAGGAAACGTGTGTGTGCCCGTGCACATGCTCCGATGAGAGTGGCTTTTAACAGAGAGCAGCTTTGTTTCACTTGTCTTCGTATGATCCAAGATGATACAAAGTAGCGTCAGGCCTTCATCTGCAGCTTATCCCCTGCACTGAGGGACAGACATGAGCTGCACGGGCACGTTTTTTTTGCCAAAAACTTGCCCTGAGAGGCATGACCATCGGTGCTTTGATGGAGCGCCATGTGGCAGAGATCAGTGGGTCTTAGTGGGAGCTGTGGACAGTTGCACATAAGGACGGCAAGGGAAGAGGATTACTGTCTCATCAATACAAATCCATACAGGGAAGGAGGCTGACATCAATATGCACAGAGATATAGGCAGGGGCTTTGAGTGAGCGTGCACGGTGTAAACATCTGCACAAGAGGACCACAACGGTGAACTCTGGATTCATGGGGGGAGGGGGGGGGGTTGTTGTTGTTTTTTGTGCTATCCATCGTTCTCACTGCCCCTCCATCCCCACCTTCTCCATACCAGACAAGAATGCCCCCCCACCCAACCCCCAATCCTCTGTTTGAAGTCCCATCTCCATCTCTGCGCTCCTACACTGTCCTTCCCTTCCTCTGCCTGTCTGAATGTCATATCTGTCAGCCTCGCTCCTCCCCGCCTCCTGCAGCTGCAACCGGGGCTACAGACGCCTTCATTGTCCTCCTCTTCCTCACTCTGACGCTTCTGCACCCGGCCACATCACACCTGCCACCTGCACAGGAGGCAGAGCCCTGGGACCTGAGCCGCGGGGGCTTTCATCCACTCCTCACCTCGCCCTTCAAGAGCCTCTCATCCCCTCATCCCGGCGCCCTGTCACTGAGGAATGGCCGGTGCAGAGGGCCGTGGCACAGTGGGACACAGAGCTCCTGTTGTAAAAAAAAAAATGTTTTAAGCGGAGCCAGAGGGAATCAGTGCAGGTGAGGCGTGTGTTTGAGGGCGAGTTTCGCGGTTAGATTTGACTCATATTTCTTCTTTTTGATGATATTCCTTTATGGCTGAGTATGAGGAGTGGATGAACTGAATGAATGTATGTCATGAGGAGCGTGGACCTGAGAGTGTGCGCATAATAACATGCTGACAGTGAGGGTGGTGGCTCTGTCTCAGTGATTTATGAGAGTGTGCTGTGAAGGGTCCTCTGAGCAGGATATTGTTCCCTGACTGGTGACTTCTGCCTCTCTCTCTCTTTGTGTGTGTGTGTAGTTGTGTGTGTGTGTGTGTATTTGAGAGCAAGAAAGATTAAGAGGGAGAGTACTGCAGGTGAGCCCTCAATGTAATCAATCACCACCACGTCACCAAGCCTAGGGACTTGTGGATTACCTCTTCAACTGATATCTAGTTTGACTCCAAATCTTTTCTTCCCCTTCTTTTTTTTTGCATATTCATTATTTCTGGCAGATAAAGAATGAACACACTCTGCATCATTACTATACTTCAGGAAAGGAAGATAATAATCGACTCCATGCCTGAGGGGGGACCGTGACAGCTCAACCGCATGGCCCAACCAGTCCAACACCCTGCACAAACCCCACCATCCACCTCAAACACACACACACACACACACACGGTTTGCCACATCAGGATACAGTGCTGCACACGAATTCCGGTTCAAACAGTATTTTGCTCGGTTTACACCAACAGATAAACCGCAGCTCTTCTGTGACCGGTAATCATATCCTGGCCCAGAACTGAAAAGACTGAAAGGCCTCCAATGAGCCACAACAAGACAAACAGCCGTGTAGGGAAGCGAATGCATCAACAGACTCATGTTTGACACGAGCATTAAGGTGCAGCCACGTTCGATGGCATCTCCGTCGGAGTAAAATACCAGAGACAATACAAGTAGAGTTTACATACAACTGTAAGAGCGTTCCAATTTCTAGCTTTGATACCTTCTGGTCCTTTTGTAGGTTATTCTGGGGGAAAAGACACAGCCTGCAGTAGTGTGCAAAAGTCTGGAGCCACTCTTTATTTCTTAATATCTTCTGTAGGCCAGACTTTCTTTTCATTTTTAAAGTGAAGGTCTGCTGAAGGTCTTTTTAAGTTTTTATTTGGACATTGACTTTTGAATAATTTTAAATTGCATCTTTAGGCTGTTCCCATTTCTTTAGCTGAATCTATAGAAATGCCAAAGAAAACCGTTTGGTGGGTATAAACTTGTATTGGAACAACAAAATGATTCCCAAAGAGCTATAAACTGATAATTTGGCCTATTTCAGCGAACATTTTGTTCAGTATGTGTTTGCTGATATACGATACACAACTTCGTCCCTGTCATGATTGCAGGCATTAAGGCAGAAACTTGCTTCAATTTAAAATAAACATTTAAAGTTTCGTAACTCCACGAAAGATTAAGTAAATAAGTTCATGTTTAACTTGCAACTTGATAAATTATGTTGATGTCATTCATTTTAAAAGATGTGTTGCATATATATTAGTCTCCATCACAAGGTTACCTCTGTATGATCAAGTGCTGCTCTGAAGTTAGAGAGAAAGTAAGCTCACTGGCCACTTCATTAGTTACACCTCTCTAGCAGATCCAGTAAGGTGTTCAGAAAATTTTGCGTGTCGTCCAGCAGATTTGCCCAATTTCCTGTTCACCCGCGTCCCAAAGGTGCTTCATTAGATTCATGTCACGTTCAAGGAATCAGTTTGAGAAGATTTGAGCCCTCTGACAGCGACAAGGCATTTTCACCCAGAGAACCGCCGCTCCCAGTAGATCAGCAGTTTCAGCCCACCTGGCACTAACATCCATGTCACTTAAATCACCTTTCTTCCCCATTCTGATGCTCGGTTTGAACTTCAGTAAGTTTTCTTCACTACATGTTGTTAGATTGGCTCATGAGGCATCTGCTATAACGAGCAGTTGAACAGGAATACCTAATTAAGTGGCTGATCGATGTATTTGTCAGTGTTCTGTCTTTAAGGTCTCAATGTCATTTAACACTTCCGCATAAAAAACCCCGTCTCTGGTGCTGAGGTGGACGTGAGCCCGCTGCTGTGAGAATGAGACTGTGTGGCTCTCTGGACTCGCGCCGCTCCAAATCTCCACTCGAGTAAAAACATACAAACAAAATCACCATTGTGTGGTCTTTCACCAGCAACCAAGCATCAGTGCTAACAGACATTGTCTTTGCTCTCTCCCTGCTGCGTATTTACTGAATGATTATTGTATGGCACATACAATATGCGCACACTGTCATTGTGAGGGGAACTGGGCTGTTATTATGGAGCAGGAAATGACCTGCCAGGACCCCTGGTGACCTCTGAGGGAAAGTGATGACCTCAGACTGACCCTTCTGTTTGTCCTGAGCTCATACTGTGCTTGAGGCAGGTCAGCTCCTCTGCTGACTGGGTAGGAGAAGGCCATAGGTGGGGTTACTTTCAAGAAAGGAATGCAACAATGAGCAGGAAATTCCCTCTGAAGTGCCAGTTTTAAATGAACTAGTCAGTGTGGAAAAGTCGCTTTTTCTTGTTTTGATGATGTCAGGATGGCACAGCGTAAATTTTAGTTATCTCGGTATTCGAAGGTACAAGTGGGATCAAAATGCAGTTTAATACGGTTTGACTTTTTTTCTTCAGCATGGTAAAACGTTAGTTAATGACACAAGCACACCCCCTTATGATGAACCAGGGGTACTGCATGCCAAAATCACAACTTCCAACAAGAATGAGTCTCTCAAAACTTTATTTCAAATTTGACAGTTTTCCACATTACTGCCCATTTCACAAACGTGTTTTCCAGCTTCAATGTCTTTTCTCACATACAAGATAATCTCTTTTATTGTTTAATCTCACAGTCAAAAAAACATTTATACCAAGAAAAATGTAGAACATAAGACTGAGGGACATCTAAAACAAGCATTTTGGGATGACAGAATCAGAGCTTTGGATTTTTTCAAATACACACGTCGGGCAGGGGAGAGTAAAAACAAAATGCAAGTGCAAAAAAGATAAACAGATGGCAAAAAAAAAAAAAAGCAAGTCATCTTCGAACTTAAAAGTTAGAGATGATTCAGTTTTAAAGTACAGCATACGAGTAAAGACAGGAGACTGAAAACACTCGGGCCGTTCAGCTATTCGTTTCAAAAACAGTCCCTTAACCCTTAACTTCAGAGTGGAAAAAAAAAGAGATTTGAACATGGAACGGAAGAACAAATCTGTCACAAAGTTTTAGCTCCACTGAAAAACCAACAAGAAGAAAAACAAACAAAAAAGCCAAACAGTTGTGATGAAGCTGCTCTAGAGCTTAGTGACTTCAAGTTTATCGCAAGGCACGAGTGTTTGGATAAACCCGTCACTACCGTAAGAGCCGGTGTTCATAGTCCATGTCTGGATGGTAAAATACTAAAACAAGAAAAGTGTGAGCATGAGTCACTTCATCAGATTCTCATACAAACAGTTGGTTTATGTTGCGGCAAGGGTGCCTGTCAGCGTGTCGCAGTTTAAAGGGCATCCAGCAGACTGTCGATGCGGCCGACGAGCTCTTGCCTCTTGCTGGTCAGATTCTTCTCGCTCTCGATGTAGGCCTCCTTCTTGACTTTCCCCGCCACCAGCCTCTCCGCTTCCTGGCAGGAGCGGCACACCAGGTCCTTCACCTGGCCGTCCAGCTTCTGCACCTCTCCGACCTGATGGGACAGAGAGGTAAGGCACTACTGCTGTGCGTCCCATTAATAAAAATCTAATTTTCCTCACAATCTCCCAAAATCACTCACCTTGTCGGCCAGGTCAGAGCCCTCTGCCTTGAGGCGGGCCTGCAGCGAGCTGATTTCATTGGTGAGAGTGCGGTGGTCGGCCTCCAGAGTCTTCCGGCCGCTGTTGAGCGCCCCCGTGTCGCGGGACTGCTTGTAGCGGTTGACCACCTCGTCCATGTGGCGGTACAGGCCCAGACGTTTGTTGACCAGAGTGAGCACCTGCTCTGTGATGGATGCGACCTTCATGCGAACCTCAGCAGCTGGATCCTGAGCAAAGACAAGAAAACAGAGTGAAATGAACAGAATGAACACCATAAATCTACTTTTGTGCAGGGTAGCTGCTTAATGAGGAGAGATCAGGTAAAATGCGGTCAACATCAACTAGAAAGGTGTTTTCATACCTTTGTGATGGCGAAGTCCAGACGTACATAGATGATGACGGTGAAGAAGAGTATGTAGAAGGCACCTACAACCAAGAGAGGCTCCTGCAGCATCAGGATCTTATTGAAGTTATAGTGAACCTGGTGATCAGGAGAGAGGGGGCACAAAGAATCACATGGAAACAGTTTAAATGTCAGCGCTGTCATCATTATATAGCCAATGTGTTGTGCAATCAATAATTACATCATGATGATTAATTGCGGCCCCCCCCCCGATTACTGCCATTTTTATACAGCTCTCAATTTACCGCTCAGCACATTCACACAGCTCTTCTGCCAGTCTAATCAGGCTGCAGTATTTCCCCCAACACTATCGAGCATGAAGCTTTTTTTTTTTTTCCCCCTTTCTTTTTTTCCATTTTGTTGCAAAAATAACATAAAATGTGTGGAGAAATAAAGAAAAGCAGTAAGGATCTCTGGCTGTACTTGAGCCAAAGCCACTGTGATCCAGTCAGTGTGTCAGCCTATAAGTTACAATTTTTCCCTAAACTCAAAATAATTAACAGGTACTCAGGAAAGTTAACAAAAAGATTTGCCAAGAAAGTTTCTTCAGCGTGAAGTGTTAACCCCTTTTTTTTTTTAGACAGACAGAAAGAGATTACAATTGTAAAAAAGAAATGTTATGACTCGATATAACCTCTATGCAGATGATATTAAATACCAAGCTCACTGACCTAATGCTACGGCAAGAAGAAAGATGATCAAATTATCAAATAATTAAATCAGTGTGTAAAATGTTGCTGTTGTGAAGTATTCAGTGCAGACAGGTGTCTGCCAAGATCTGTTGACGCCAAGAAAAAACAAACTTCAACATACTTGGACACGTGGTTCATAAACCTGTGGTAACAACTCAAAAACCTGCTTCTAAATATTAAGTGTTCGTGTGTACACATAAAACACGTCTCTACCATGTTAGCATCAGCACAGATGATCGTTAGTGGAGACCTATTTTTGAACTATGAGCTCAAAGATGATGCAGCTAAGAGCCTCCAAGCCTAATTTTACTGTGGCATTATACCCTCACCCTGATGATACTGCATATTGATAAAGAGTGACAGGTTCTAACAGCTTCCTTAGTTACAAAGAGAAAACCACTTCTGATCTGAATAACCTCAAACCTGAGACACCATGAATGGATTTTTGTCTTCTTCTACGGTGCATCTTACCACGAAATCCTGAATGTGCTGCTCCACCAGGTTGTTCTTGGTGGCCACCAGCACTGGCCGCCCAAAAGTGTCCAGGTATGTATAGTGCAGCTGGTTCGGCATGCGGCTGATTTTGTAAGGTGTATCCACATGAATGTTTCTGAGAAGACAAGACAAAGATATAGAAGGGAAAATAAATATCAAGCCCTGTAAACACTCCCCAAAGGAGATACTTTAGGTGTGTTTGCACTGACCTGGCTCCCTCTGGCAGGATGATTTTCACAGTCATTTCATCAATCACCTGGTCATCATACACATGGTCAACAAGTCTCATCTTCAATGCATACTGATCACCTGGGATATACAATGGCATGACATATAAGCTAAGGCATTCAGAGATTAATTAACAAAACTGGTGATCAGAAATCGACTCACCCAGCATGTAAAGATACTCATAACTAGGCAGATTGTAGCCAATTATGTAGTGAGTCTTCCAGCCTCCAAACAAAGGAAAACGAGGCCTGACCTCTACCTCCACTGAGTCATCCAGAACCTGCAAGTGGGAGGTGGAGATGTTTCCAATCTCATCCCGATAGTAAACGTCTTGGGCCGAGGCAGGGAGGATAGTCTGGTGAGGAGAATCTATATAATTATCAGAGAAACTGTGAAAGCTCAAATGACACTGGTTGGGTGTCTAGAAGAAACAAACCTTGAAGGACTTGATAGATGAGATGCCGCTGTCTGACTGACGCTGGTAATCATAACGTGAAAAGGGGCCCTTCAGAATGGCTCCGGTGTGCCTCAGGTCGATGGTTTCTTCCACTGCAATGTTGCCCCAGTGAGACACCTCAATGGTACGAGTGATGCTGCTGATGGTGAGGAAGGGTGTGTTGTTTTCATAATGGATCTTCATTGCGTCCTGGACAGAGGAGAACACAAGCAAACAGCAGATCAGTTTAGCAGCTGTTTTGTAGCTTCGCTATAAGCTAATCAAACCTGGTCAGGGTTGTACCTTGCTAAACGGAGCAATGTCGCGGAAGGGTCCATACTCAATAATCTCATCGGTTTTGCTTGGGTTGCCCAGCTTTGTGTAGCTCTCCGCGGTCTTGGACGCAAGGCGGACACGTGTGGTCTGGGTGCGGGTTGGATACGGGGAGTAGAAGTAGTGGTCCCCCTGGAAAATCACCAGCTGACGCTCAGCCTGGGTGATGTGTGTGGGGAAGGGCTTCAGGACGTGGCTAAACGTCATCTCCACCTTGGTCTTCAGCTGAGCACCTGCAGCCAAGCTGGAGGGCAGCTGCACTTTATAAAACTCCCCACTGTTGCAGAAGAGATGACAGAGAGGAGCACAGGTAAGACATATTTGATGGATCACATCAGATTCTCGGGACATGCACGTCTTGGACGTGCACGTCCAAGTTAAGAAATCCTGTTTTGGATATTGATCAAAAATAATCATGACTGTGATTTTCGCCAGAAACCAGCAACCCTACCATCTTCCAGAAAATAAAATGGTGCTTCAAATGCACCAGTTCTGCAGTCTGTTTTCATCATGTAAGGTCTTTATAATCTGCTTAGTAGACAGTGTCTGATCTCTCACCTTTGACCCTGAATTGTTGTCTGCTGTAGTTCAAGTGTGCCATCCTCCTCTTCATCACCCTTCACCTGTGAAAGCAGGCAGTCAGAGAATATTTGTGTAATGTATGCAGTTACTTGCACGATAAGTCTCTTCTTGAATAAATGGTAAGCGTTTCAAGTAATTTCTTCATTACTTTATGAAATGTAACAAATATTTTATAGAGTTAGGTTTGCTGTTAGCCAATTTAGGTTAGCGTCGGTTTGCTAGTGACAGCTTTTTTAAAATAGCATTAGCTAACTTCTTGGCTAATGCTAACTTCATTGGTCAGTAGCAATGTTGTTACTCGACTAACATTGTTATGATGATGCAGGAGTGCCACAAACACAGGCATATAGGATCGTGCTTCAACACTATAGGACTTTGAGGGAATCGTTTGTAACGTATCTGTTATTGTGTCATTATTCTGTCAAACAGGAGCATTGTTACGGTTTCATTCATAGTGGAAGGGGGCAGGCCTGTGCGCAGTCACACACGGAAGTAAGCTGCCCAGCGCATACGTGTCATTCAGCCACTGACAGAGCGTGGAGCCCTGCGGAAGTCATTGTCTTGTTACCCACATCCATGGCACTTTAAAATAAATATGGCTCTTCTGGGCATAAATAACTACATTTCCCGAACTGGGGTGAATGCACTGCACATACCGAGCTCGTAATACTTGCTACTGTTAGCTAACTGTGTCTATGTGACTCCCCACTTGCAGAGCTCACTGCCAACAGAATCACACATAGCCAGTAGCTTTGCTTCTATGCATTTAATGAACAAGCCGTGACCTTTTACTACGGGAGGGCACTGACTTCTGCAGGTTTGCTGTTGGCACCTCACAAAAATAAAAAACTGCAAGCTGTAAAGACAGTGCACAGCACTGCATGTGTAGTTTGCAACAGAACAGCTAACAAGCTAAAGCTAGCTAGCCGGCTACAGGCGGAGGTGTTAGCGCAGTTTCATTCACTGATGTTTAGCTCACCGAAGCTCCGATGTATGCCAGATGCGGAGCCAGGCCCTCCTCCACTGCGAGTATGAAACTGTGCACGGCCGAGTTCCCCTGGTTGGACAGCACGATTTCGGCAGTGATCTTGGCCAGATGCGTGCTCAGGTCCACTGTCCTCTTCACATCCTCGTTTACCAAACCGTCCGCTGAAACCTGCGGACCCAGAGCAGCCAGGAGCAGCAGGTAGGCGGTGAAAAGCGGGGAGGTTTGGGTCATGGTTAAAATAAGATAGGAGCTGAAATGCTGTAGTTACTGGGTTAAGAGAGGAAGAAATGTAGAGCAGCAAAGAAAGGCCGCCGTGCCGCTCTACATCGAAAAGGATGACGCCTCATTCAGTACGACGTGATGACGTCACTTTTTCAACGTGCAGTGCGTCGGAAGCGGTTGCGAAACAGAAAAGCGGTCAATTAACGTGGCTTTCAAAAACTGTTTTGCAAAATAAAGGAATCATACAGTTTGTCGTTTTTTTCTACAGCGCAAAAGTCAAACATAATGATGGTGGTCGTCTCAATTTATCACTGGAATAACAACAAGCTTATTCTGTTACTACCATTTCTGGCTGTGATGACGTAGTTCAGCATGTTTGTACACGGTACAGCGAGCCGAAATAGCTCAGTTGGGAGAGCGTTAGACTGAAGATCTAAAGGTCCCTGGTTCGATCCCGGGTTTCGGCAGCATTGGGGAAACATTTTAAAGATACACCTCGCCGTTTTTCCGCCGTTAAGTTTTTCTCTTACCACATTGGTTTTTGGTTTTACAGCACACTGAGCGTACTATCACAGTATGTACATCATATCTGGTATTACATTTGGTAAAAGATTTTAAAAATGTTAAAAGATGAAGGGGGGAATCAACTACAAAAATAATTACAACACTCAACTAGCTTTTCTTCTTTTTTTTGCTTTTTCATATATTTGTGTTGCTACTACAGACTGTTGAATGGTTGCATAGTGCTTTGTTTGTCCGAGATTCTGAGATAAGCTTTTAATACAGCATGAAAAAGGTAGTATACGTCTACTCCATTGACTGTTTTTCA